GACATTAAAACACATTTTAGGCTTAATATTAAGAAATGTGCATTGTTCACAAGTAGAACTCAAAATAAAGTTTAAATTGAGCGGCAACCTCCCGCTCTCTCTTGTGAAGCCAACAAGGAAGTGACTTAAACTGTAATTCGTCAACTGGCCGCTAGAGGCTGGCTGCAAAAGGGAGTCAATCCCATAGACTCCCCATGTTAAAATGCCCAATTTTACAGCAGAAAAAAACATGTTTATAGCCTGGTTCAAAAAATTATTTTGGTCTATATAGCTAATTTTGCCCTTCATGACAACTGTGAGGGGGGAGAATTTTTTATAACTCATCCGTTTAAATTATATTAAGCCTTAAAGTTCTGCATAATTAAGGGCGTGGCCACTTGAGTGACAGGTGGATTGCTGCTGCTGTCACCACCGTCGAGCTAGGTGGGCGTGGTTTCAGCAACCAGCTCCCGTCTTTTTGCCCATTTTCGATATCCGGGAGTGACGCGCTGCCAAGATGGGGACGGCCGGTTCTGCCCACTTTGAGCTTCAAAAACGCTCATCAGAAACTTAACAGGTGACGTCACGGACACTACATCCATGTTTTTATACAGTCTATGGTTTAGACATGCCGTTTTCACACTGCAGCTAAATTTAAGTCACTCCTCTTTTGAACACTTAATCCAGTTCTGTACACACTGAGTTTAGTTCACAAAAAACATGTTAAAATAGCAAATGGTTTATTTGTTGGCATCTATATTTCTTATTTACAGCCACATTACCATGTTAACCATCACAAGATCAGGAGTGACTCCTGTATTCATACACACAGTGAATGCTAATTTCGATGGATTCACTCCTGGTTGTCTTCCTCAAACGTGGCCATACTGAACCCAATGATGTGTGTCAGTTCCAGTCACATTTAACAATATTACATGGATTAACTGTGAATGAATAAGAGCTAAAGAGACATTAAGTGCATTTGCAATTGAGACTGGTGATAAAACGATAAAGCAAAGCAAAGCGCACAGACCGCTCAGGGAAAGCATCATGTGATCAGGATGGCTCTGAGCGCGAGATGTTAATTCAGAGAACCCAGAAAATGAAACGAAACCACAAGATGAATAGCTGTTTCCAAACAGCTTCAATCTCGATCCCAAAAGACCCATTAAAGGACAGAGAGAAAGGACAGCGTACCCGACGAGGAGTCGGAGGATTTTAGAGCAAAAGACCAACCATCAGGGGTCATAGACGCACAGTGTGGTAGACGCAGTTCCACGGGCTTCAGGAACTTCAGACCATGGTGCGCGTGAAAGTGTCGACCCCGCTGTCGGTGTCCAGGGGCTGGGGCGAGATTTGAGGTTTCAGGTTGTTGTTCACACTGGGTTTGGACTGGGTGTCGTTGGGAAGCAGGTTGTGGTTGAATTTGGGGCTCTCGAACTTGCGCTCGAAGGGTCGGGCGGAGCTGGTGTAAGGCTTGGGGACGTAGGGGTTGTAGCTGGTAGGGACGCCTAGCGTCTTGGGAGGGGCATCTGTGCCATTGATAGAAGACTTGGGGGGCAGGTAGCTGGTCTGGATGGGGTCATCCCGGGTGGGAGCTCTGAGAGCCGACTGATCCGGTTTGGCTTTGGGAGAGCTGTGAGGATCTGGCAGCGAGTTCACTGGGAGATCAGGGAGAGGGGTGATGCATTTAAACAATGCATTCACTTTTTGATGTGGTATCAAAATCATGCGATTTCATTAGTATTACCACTGATTTCTGAAATTCTGGCAATATAACAATATTGACAATATGGCCATACACTATGCAAGAGCTGTGCTTCATTAACTTTGGAGACTTAAAGACATTTCTTATTATTTCTCATATAGAAGTTACATTTAAACTTTATCTTGATTTTATTTGCTAGTTTTTAAATGTTTTCTAAGCATAGATTTTATCATTTGATCTAGACTGAAAAACTCCCAAATCCTTAGGAAATATTACTATTTAGGAGCTACATAGGAATGATTATTTTCATAGTTTCCTTTGCTTTTTTTGTAATAAATTATTTATGGTGTGAAATTAATCTTAAATTTTTTTAAAGTAGTTTTTAATAATTAATAGTTAAAGCTTATGCAAGACGGTACCTGGCAAAAGGATATGCGATCTGGGGCTGAGACGGTTTGGGCGGCTCATGGAAGCGATTGATTCCAGTGTTGGGCTGATTCATGGCCTTGTTGTCAAAGCTGCGGCGGTCAAAATACGACAACTGCTTCCTGTAATACTCTTCATCTTCATCTGGGTCATAGTGGTTGGAGCGCACCACATCGTCCCCTGCACGCGGCTGAGCTTTCTGGGGCTCTGGGGCTCTGGGAGAAGATGAAAATCATCAAAAGGAAAGATCTTAACTGTATTAGCAGAGGGTACTATTGGATTGCATTAACATTCTCCACTAACAACACATACTGTATATGCTAACCACTACGGTGTAAAAATAGAGTGAAACAGAATGCAATTTGAAATTAATCATGTGAACAATAAAACATAGTTATTTTGCACTTCCAATACATAAGAATGTGGTAACTTAAGACAATCCAATCAAATAGTTGATATTACTTCTGGGTTACTCCACAGTTCACATGCTCTCTGGCTAATGATTTCCCATGACTTTTCCAGTCAATTCAGATCCTTTTGTTTTAAATAAGGGCTTGGTTGACGGTTGTAGGTGTACATATATAATAATGCTCAAAAGTTTGGGGTCAGTAAGATTTTTTTTTTTTTAAAGAAATGAATACTTTTATTCAGCAAGGTCACATTAAAATGATCAAAAGTGACAGTTAAGATTTATAATGACAAAATTATTTTTATCATTGAAATACTATTACAGTTTTTGTTAAGATTTTAAATTGAATTGTATATTTTGTTTTCATTTTCATTTTAGTTAATTTTTAGTAATTTTGTTGTGTTTTTGTCATTTTTTTGGTTGTTGTTTTAAAATATCTATATCGTTTTTTATTTCAGTTTAAGTCAATTTTAGTATATAAAGATAAACCAAATTAATTTGAGAAATGCTGCCTTGTCAACTAACTGAAATAGTTTTCTTTTTGTATATATATTTTACATTTATTTTATTTCAAGTAATGAAACTGTTTTTATGGTTTTATTTTTATTTTACTATAATAACCCTGTTTCAATAATGATAATAATGTTTCTTGACTAGTTGAACACACAAGACTCATTCTTACCCTCGATGTTGCGGAGTTTGGGCAGGGATGTGGGTGGAGCAGCAGGTGTGGGCTGGCTGTATGGAGCAGGTGACGGGTTGACGGGCGGCAGGGGCTCGTACCTCTTGTCGACAGGACTCACCTTCTCCACAGACTCCGACCTGAAGCAGAAAGTGTGTGCAAGAGTGTGTATGATATGTACAAGAGTCCCGTCAACATACAAGAGTAAACAATGTCTGTGTAGCGAGTTAGACGGTACCTGGCAAAAGGATATGTGATCTGGGGCTGAGACGGTTTGGGCGGCTCATGGAAGCGATTGACACTTCCAATACATAAGAATGTGGTAACTTAAGACAATCCAATCAAATAGTTGATATTACTTCTGGGTTACTCCACAGTTCACATGCTCTCTGGCTAATGATTTCCCATGACTTTTCCAGTCAATTCAGATCCTTTTGTTTTAAATAAGGGCTTGGTTGACGGTTGTAGGTGTACATATATAATAATGCTCAAAAGTTTGGGGTCAGTAAGATTTTTTTTTTTTTAAAGAAATGAATACTTTTATTCAGCAAGGTCACATTAAAATGATCAAAAGTGACAGTTAAGATTTATAATGACAAAATTATTTTTATCATTGAAATACTATTACAGTTTTTGTTAAGATTTTAAATTGAATTGTATATTTTGTTTTCATTTTCATTTTAGTTAATTTTTAGTAATTTTGTTGTGTTTTTGTCATTTTTTTGGTTGTTGTTTTAAAATATCTATATCGTTTTTTATTTCAGTTTAAGTCAATTTTAGTATATAAAGATAAACCAAATTAATTTGAGAAATGCTGCCTTGTCAACTAACTGAAATAGTTTTCTTTTTGTATATATATTTTACATTTATTTTATTTCAAGTAATGAAACTGTTTTTATGGTTTTATTTTTATCTATCTATAATAACCCTGTTTCAATAATGATAATAATGTTTCTTGACCATCAAATCAGTAAATTAGAATGATTTCTGAAGGATCATGTGACACTGAAGACTGGAGTAATAATGCTGAAAATTCAGCTTTGCATCACAGAAATAAATTACATATTAAAATATATTAAAATTGAAAACTGTTGTTTTAAACTGCAATAATATTTTACAATTTTACTGTATTACTGTATTTTTGATCAAATAAATGCAGCCTTGGTGAGCATAAGAAACTTTTGAAAACAGTTTTTGAGGAAAAAAAGAATCTTACCAACCCCAAACTTTTGAACGGTACTGTAAGCATGTGGTTGTACCTGTAAGAGGGTTTCTCCTGCTCTAGGTTGCTGAGAGAGTTGGCTTTAAGCACAGGATCCGGTGTGCTCACAGGTTTTGGGAGATCTGTGGGCTGAAGAAGAAAGTACATCCATTCTGTCATCACATGTTCACATACAAAAACTAGATTTATACATTTTCTGAAGTCCTTCTTGTCTGTGCAAAAGTCGACACTAAAATATTAAGTTGTTATGTGGATGCAAATAAACTTAATAAACCATTAACAACAAAGCCCTCAATGGAAAAGTCTAGGTTCAGTATCAAGCGGACAGAAATATACCCTGATTCCCGCTACTTCCGGCGTATCCTTGGCTCGGTCTACGGACACGGAGCGCTTGTTCTCGAACATTTTGACCCTGTTGAGCACAGACTGGGGCTTCATGGCAGGGTCTTCATCATCATCATCATCATCATCATCATCCTTGTGGGGAGGCGGCAATGGTTTGGGAGCTGCAGGGTGAGCTGGTTCTCCTGAAGACAAGACGGCCTCGGGTTTGGGAGGCGGAGCAGGAGGTTCAGAGTTCATCACGGGCTCGTGTGGTGCTGGTTTATACGTTCGGTTCGGCGATCCAGGGTTGTACGAGGGTCTCATTGCAGCATCACCGTAATACTGCTTGGGCGGATCAGGGGAGCGATGCGCATTGCCTGGGAAACCATGTGGATCGGACTCGAAGGGAGAGCGGGCGTCGTAGGAGACCGGAGGGGGCGGTTCTTCGTAGCGCGCCGTGGCGGGTTTAGCTTGCCGCGGCCGGTTATCGTAGCTCATTGGTGACACGCCATCGTATTGGGACTGAGGGGGGCTGAAATCCCTGGTTGGGCCATCCTCGTATGGAGAGCGGGGTTCGTACCCCAGTTGGGGGGGAGGAGGAGGCTGGTGGCCCTGAGGGTAGCCGGACACGGGTGGCGGTTGGGGTGAAGTCTGCTGCTGGTCGTAAGGGGGCCACTGCTCGTTGTAGTGAGGAACACGGCTGTCGTAGTGCAGGTGCGGGTCGTAATTGTGAGGCTTTGGTTGTGCGTAGCCGCCACCGTCATAGCCATAAGGCGGGTGTTCGTACTGGCGGTATGGCTGTTGGTCCTGGTAGACAGGCTGGTGGCTGTAGGAGAGCGAGGTGGGGGGGCCTAAAGGCTGCTGCTGCTGCTGGTGGTGGGGAGGGGGAGGCTTCACACTGTGGTTCACTCGCACCGCCTCATCCATGCTGTACAGATCCTTTTTATACATCTGTGAGGGACAAAACATCAACTGTCAGAGCCGGAATGATTGAAAAGGCTATGAAAAGGATATTTCCTATTTATATACATTTGCAAAAACAACCTCAGTCGTTAAGTCATTAAATTAAACAGATCTGGCACATTTTTAAAGGTAAAAAAAATAAATAATAATAAAACAGGCAAAATATTTCAAATTAACTACAAAGAAATATTTAAGTAGTAAATTAGTATTTCCTCCAGGAAAAATAAGTGCTTGCAAGGCAGTAAAAAAGTAAGCATGTTTTTACATACAGTAAAAAATCACAATATTTTAAAATAATGTGGTTTTATTCCAGAAGGAAAAAAATTAGCAAACTTCAAAATGTTAGATTTTTTAAAAACCTTTTAAAAAATTCAAATGTTTTTGAAAGCAGTCTCTTGTGTTAACCATGGCTAGATTTATTTGAGTAAAATATAGTAAAAATAGTAATACCGAGAAACATTATTTTAATTTAAAATGTTCAAATAATAGTTCTTTATTTGAATAGATTTTAAAATGTAATTTATTCCTGTGATGCAAAGCTGAATTTTCAGCATCATTACTCCAGTCTTCAGTGTCACATGATCCTTCAGAAATCATTCTGATATGGTGCTAAATTATTATTGGCTCTCAATTATTAATTATTAATAGTATTAAATGAACTTTCAGTAAATGTACATGCAGTGGTGCCTTGCAAGCACTGAAGCTAAACTCACTCCTGAACAGAAAAAAACATTAATAACTCATTAATTCATTATGCAATAAAACAAGCATCTTACGAATTTGCAACTCAGCTCTACATTACTACATTTTGAAAAGAAGCCCTTCAGCATGTACAGCAACTCCACTTGGTTACACTTCTTTGATTCCTAATCTTTAGCAAAATCTAATACATTTATAATAGGACCAAGTGGAGCTTTAAAGATGTCTTTGTTCATTGTTTGAAGGCTCCTTCTCAAGCTTCAAAGTATAGCCTGAAGACAGTAGAGCTGTAAAAGGTCCAACGCCTCCTATAAGACAAGTTAACATAATCACAAAAGCTCTTACATAACGTCTTCATCTATGAAAAGGAACATTGGTTATGAAGACATTATGCAGGATTAGTCCAGTTGTTTTCCTTTTACATTGCTGTAAGTACTGTCTGCAGGTTAAATGAACATGCAACTACAGAAGTCCATTCTTGCAAATCAGGGAAAGGTCCGTTTGCAATTAAGTGACACTTCTACAGTGCATCTAGTGGCCGTCCGTACAGATGTGATTCAGGTCAAAGCCAAACGCTACCGTTACAGCTATCACTACAGATTAGGGCCAGGTGATATAGCTTAAAAAATTGTAAAAAAAAATCCATTGTTTACATCAAACAGCATAGTACACGCAGTAAATCAAGGTTTCAATAATCCTGTTTTACACAGCTTTTCAATAAATAAAACAAAGAATTATTTAAAATGATATGCACTAACAAAATAATACATAAAAGCAAACAATATGGGGAAAAATATTCCAGTGAAAATTTTAATGTTGATGCAAACAATAGCATTACACAATAAAATAAATTGTATAATATGTAAAATTTTACTTAAACATTTTAATATATATATAAAAAAAAAAACAATTATAAAAATATGTGAAAATTGTTAGTGATGCTGATGAATCACTGAAACAGTTATGAATTGACTCCTTAAAGTGGACTGTTTGTACTGATTAAAATTTTTATGACTCGAATTCTTAACCCCCCACCCCCACATTTATATCTTGCAATTCTGAGTTTAAATCTCACAATTCAGCCTTTTTTCTCACAAATCTGAGAGATCAAAGTTTATATCTCACAATCTGTAGTTTTTCCTCCCAATTCTGAGTTTATATTTCAGAGACACAAACTCAGGATTGCGAAAGAAATACAAACCCAGAATTGCAAGGTATAAAAGCAGAATTACAAGGAAAAAAAGTCAGAATTGTGAGATAAAAACTCAGAACTGCAAGGGAAAAAAGTCCAGAAACATATTAGCCGAATAAAGTGTGCATTAAAATCGTCACACATTCGCAAAGTTGCACCATTTCAAACAGCCGTCGCATTCATATCATGACTATTCAATATATCGCCCAGCCCTACTACAGACAGAACAAGCTGAAAGAAACGTCATAAATTAGGAGCCATGCAAGAGGAAGTACGAGGCAACAAGTGAGGAGACTGCACTTCTACTTATGCAACGGGCCCTCGTCCTCCTGTGGTGCATGTGTACCAGTTACACAGTCTCTGCCGTAGTGTCAGAGGAACACAAGCAGCACACGCGTGGGGTGGGCGGAGCATTCATGCAGATAGTGGAGTGGGAGGAGTCAAAGAAAAGAGTGATAGACACAGGCAAGGTTGAGAAAGAAAGAGCTGGGCTGAACCAGGCCGAAACGGGCCGGAAGCGGGTCCAGCTTCCGGTGCTGCTGGTACCTTTGGATCTGGGCCAGGAGGAAGCAACTGGGGGGGGTCGTGTGTTGGGGGCTGAGCATTGCAGCGTCGCCGTAATACTGCTTGGGCGGATCAGGGGAGCGATGCGCATTGCCTGGGAATCCATGCGGATCGGACTCGAAGGGTGAGCGGGCGTCGTAGGAGACTGGAGGAGGCGGCTCTTCGTAGCGCGCAGGAGCGGGTTTAGCGTGCCGCGGCCGGTTATCGTAGCTCATTGGGGACACACCATCGTATTGGGACTGAGGGGGGCTGAAATCCCTGGTTGGGCCGTCCTCGTATGGAGAGCGGGGTTCGTACCCCAGTGGAGGAGGAGGAGGCTGGTGGGCCTGAGCGTAGCCGGACGTGGGCGGCGGTTGGGGTGAAGTCTGCTGCTGGTCGTAAGGGGGCCACTGCTCGTTGTAGTGAGGAACACGGCTGTCGTAGTGCAGGTGCGGGTCGTAATTGTGAGGCTTTGGTTGTGCGTAGCCGCCACCGTCATAGCCATAAGGCGGGTGTTCGTACTGGCGGTATGGCTGTTGGTCCTGGTAGACAGGCTGGTGGCTGTAGGAGAGCGAGGTGGGGGGGCCTAAAGGCTGCTGCTGCTGCTGGTGGTGGGGAGGGGGAGGCTTCACACTGTGGTTCACTCGCACCGCCTCATCCATGCTGTACAGATCCTTTTTATACATCTGTGAGGGACAAAACATCAACTGTCAGAGCCGGAATGATTGAAAAGGCTATGAAAAGGATATTTCCTATTTATATACATTTGCAAAAACAACCTCAGTCGTTAAGTCATTAAATTAAACAGATCTGGCACATTTTTAAAGGTTAAAAAAAAATAAAAAAATAAAACAGGCAAAATATTTCAAATTAACTACAAAGAAATATTTAAGTAGTAAATTAGTATTTCCTTCAGGAAAAATAAGTGCTTGCAAGGCAGTAAAAAAGTAAGCATGTTTTTACATACAGTAAAAAATCACAATATTTTAAAATAATGTGGTTTTATTCCAGAAGGAAAAAAATTAGCAAACTTCAAAATGTTAGATTTTTTAAAAACCTTTTAAAAAATTCAAATGTTTTTGAAAGCAGTCTCTTGTGTTAACCATGGCTAGATTTATTTGAGTAAAATATAGTAAAAATAGTAATACCGAGAAACATTATTTTAATTTAAAATGTTCAAATAATAGTTCTTTATTTGAATAGATTTTAAAATGTAATTTATTCCTGTGATGCAAAGCTGAATTTTCAGCATCATTACTCCAGTCTTCAGTGTCACATGATCCTTCAGAAATCATTCTGATATGGTGCTAAATTATTATTGGCTCTCAATTATTAATTATTAATAGTATTAAATGAACTTTCAGTAAATGTACATGCAGTGGTGCCTTGCAAGCACTGAAGCTAAACTCACTCCTGAACAGAAAAAAACATTAATAACTCATTAATTCATTATGCAATAAAACAAGCATCTTACGAATTTGCAACTCAGCTCTACATTACTACATTTTGAAAAGAAGCCCTTCAGCATGTACAGCAACTCCACTTGGTTACACTTCTTTGATTCCTAATCTTTAGCAAAATCTAATACATTTATAATAGGACCAAGTGGAGCTTTAAAGATGTCTTTGTTCATTGTTTGAAGGCTCCTTCTCAAGCTTCAAAGTATAGCCTGAAGACAGTAGAGCTGTAAAAGGTCCAACGCCTCCTATAAGACAAGTTAACATAATCACAAAAGCTCTTACATAACGTCTTCATCTATGAAAAGGAACATTGGTTATGAAGACATTATGCAGGATTAGTCCAGTTGTTTTCCTTTTACATTGCTGTAAGTACTGTCTGCAGGTTAAATGAACATGCAACTACAGAAAATCCATTCTTGCAAATCAGGGAAAGGTCCGTTTGCAATTAAGTGACACTTCTACAGTGCATCTAGTGGCCGTCCGTACAGATGTGATTCAGGTCAAAGCCAAACGCTACCGTTACAGCTATCACTACAGATTAGGGCCAGGCGATATAGCTTAAAAAATTGTAAAAAAAAATCCATTGTTTACATCAAACAGCATAGTACACGCAGTAAATCAAGGTTTCAATAATCCTGTTTTACACAGCTTTTCAATAAATAAAACAAAGAATTATTTAAAATGATATGCACTAACAAAATAATACATAAAAGCAAACAATATGGGGAAAAATATTCCAGTGAAAATTTTAATGTTGATGCAAACAATAGCATTACACAATAAAATAAATTGTATAATATGTAAAATTTTACTTAAACATTTTAATATATATATAAAAAAAAAAACAATTATAAAAATATGTGAAAATTGTTAGTGATGCTGATGAATCACTGAAACAGTTATGAATTGACTCCTTAAAGTGGACTGTTTGTACTGATTAAAATTTTTATGACTCGAATTCTTAACCCCCCACCCCCACATTTATATCTTGCAATTCTGAGTTTAAATCTCACAATTCAGCCTTTTTTCTCACAAATCTGAGAGATCAAAGTTTATATCTCACAATCTGTAGTTTTTCCTCCCAATTCTGAGTTTATATTTCAGAGACACAAACTCAGGATTGCGAAAGAAATACAAACCCAGAATTGCAAGGTATAAAAGCAGAATTACAAGGAAAAAAAGTCAGAATTGTGAGATAAAAACTCAGAACTGCAAGGGAAAAAAGTCCAGAAACATATTAGCCGAATAAAGTGTGCATTAAAATCGTCACACATTCGCAAAGTTGCACCATTTCAAACAGCCGTCGCATTCATATCATGACTATTCAATATATCGCCCAGCCCTACTACAGACAGAACAAGCTGAAAGAAACGTCATAAATTAGGAGCCATGCAAGAGGAAGTACGAGGCAACAAGTGAGGAGACTGCACTTCTACTTATGCAACGGGCCCTCGTCCTCCTGTGGTGCATGTGTACCAGTTACACAGTCTCTGCCGTAGTGTCAGAGGAACACAAGCAGCACACGCGTGGGGTGGGCGGAGCATTCATGCACACAGTGGAGTGGGAGGAGTCAAAAAAAAGAGTGATAGACACAGGCAAGGTTGAGAAAGAAAGAGCTGGGCTGAACCAGGCCGAAACGGGCCGGAAGCGGGTCCAGCTTCCGGTGCTGCTGGTACCTTTGGATCTGGGCCAGGAGGAAGCAACTGGGGGGGGTCGTGTGTTGGGGGCTGAGCGAGCTCAGGTTCGGGCTGGGGGTCAGGAACAGGGACGGGGCTGTTAAGGGTGTCGGCCTGAGGGGTGCCAGACGGCTCCTCTGGGTCCGTACCCGCTAGTGGCGCGGTTGGTTGGACAGCAGGGGGCGCTGCTGCCGCTGCAGAGGGAGGGGGCGGCGAGGCCAGAGCGACCTCAGCTTGCTGTGGAGTACGGGGCAAAGAGGTTACAGACACGCGCTGCCAACAGCACCAGCTACAACTAGCAGCTACAACAACCAAAGCATCCATAACCAGGTTAACTGGTAGCTACTGAAAGCTGAATAAGAGTTTGTCTGGAAAAGAATGTCGTCTGATCATATAAACTAGCTCACATCAAGTGTCTTTAGCTTTACAGGAAGCAGAAAACTAGGTAGTGGTCCAGTCCTGCTGCATATGCAGTTTAAAATGCTATTGAGGCAGAAAATAAAGGTTTACATTTCAGATAACATCCCAAACGACGGAAAATGGGTTTTGTTGTGTTATATGGTAATTTCTACTATGCTGTACATTTTCACATTCTGATTAGCTAACATATTAAACTCAAAACGATAGAATCCATATTAGTAAGAATCACCAGGAAAAAAAAGAGAAAAATTTAAATCTCATGTAAATGTTTTGTTGTCTGGTATTTAATTGAATGATCGTTATCAGAATTCATTGTACACGCAAATGCACTCAATTTCACAACTAACAGGGTGTATTTCAAGAAACGTAAATTATTTTTGAGCAGATGATATTTTTCAAGTGGTATTCATTAGTAACATAAAAAATGTAATTGCAATTATTTCTCCCGGTGTCCTTAAGTATACTTTTCATCCTGTCAGTCTTCTGTATATCTTAATGACTAACAAAGCCCTAAAGCCTAACTTTATCCCTTTAACTAACAAAAGCCTGTTCCTTAATGACCTTGTCCTCTAGGAAGTGACATCAGCACAAACATCAGCAAGAATTAACAACAGATTTGATATAATTTTGTGATGTTTTGTGCTATTAATTGGTCTGACTTGAATCATTCCATCTTGTTTGATAGAAAGAAAAATGTATATATTTTAAAAGACTGTTAAAACCAAGATTAAAATATAACAAGCTACAAAGTAACCTTATATAAAACAGATAAATGATAAATAAATAAATACATACATACAAATTTAGCAAGCTAACATACTTATGTAAACTAAACAAATATTTAAAAATAATAATAAAATTAAAAAAAATTATCAAGTTAATACTCGTGTAAGCTAACGCTCCTCACTTTAGATTCTTATTTCTATCCTATCAGGTTCATCTTAACTCATTTTCTTGCCAGTATGTGAATAGGTTATAATTCATATATTTTTTAATAATTTAGTGCCTGAGCATCTCTAATAGAAATACTTCATTAAAACACAACACAAGCATATTCATTTTTTAAAAGTTAGAGATTTCAAAAAGCACTGCATAGCAGAAATGGCCCATGTTATGCTCAAACTTACAGAAGTCCCACTGAAATGAACAAAGTAACCAACACACACACACACATGGTACTCATATTCTGTACCTGCTGAGGCGCTGCCATCTTAAACCCGGCTGGGTCGATGCGGTTAACTGGCTCCGGTTGCGGCACAGCATGCTGGTAGCTCGGGTACCCAGTTGCGTCCTGGATGACCGGCAGGTCCTCTCGGACAGGTTCAGATGAGCGTGTGATGGCAGGCTCGCTGGGCAGGCCCACCTCGTCATTCATGGTTTCATCCAGCTCCTGGTCAGTGTAGGCCCCGCCCTCCGTATCATCCTCATGTTCTTGACACCCTGCTTGCTGTCAGGATTCAGGAACACCACGATGGGGTACCATTGAGCATAATTCAGACGATCCACCGCATTGGGGGTGATGTCCAGCACTGCATGCTTGTCCTAGCAGCACAAACAGAATCATGAGACACCAGCCGGGTCTTTGCAGGGTCTGTGAGACAATGCTCACGAGCTGAGCAGATGGAAAGCGGGATGGCAGTTAACTAAATTAAAAAACGCTGAAAACCTTTTTACACAGAACTTACTTGCAAGTTCAAAGACGTCAGGCTCCTCTCTGGACAGTTTCTCTCTTGCGACATCCGCAATAGGCCCGAAAATGACCACCGGCCTCAAGAAACCAGCTTTTTATGCAGAAGAAACAACAGGTTAACTAGATTTCTACAAAAGGTTTTCCTTCGTTGCAAGGCTATCAGGTTATTTCCTGCAAACTTCCACAGACAAACTGAAACTGATTAGCAAAGCTTTAAAAATAGATGCTCAAACCCGAAATAACCATAGCAACTAAAAGCAGGTCTATAAACAGTAGGGCTGGGTAAAAAATATCGATATCTCGATATTAATCGATTCTCATTTTTACGGAACGATATCAATTCTTAAATCCCAAGAATCGATTAGTCTAGCCTGTTTTCAGTTAATGGATGGAACATTGAAGCACACCTCCCATCCAATATATCACAATAAGCATTGTGCGTTGGTACTTAAACTGTAGAGAGGGGCATTTTGCTAAATATATGCACCATATAACATTCACTATAAATTTTACTGTTCTTCAATGTTTAATTTATGTTTTAATAAATCCATCAAGTTTTTATGACAGCCACCATTATGTTTATATAAAAAAAACGAATTGAAGTAGAAATATTATGTAATTGTAACTTTATTATTTAAAAAAAAGCAATTTAGTGTAATTTTAACAAATCAGTCAATTTTAACCTTCAGTATTATAGTAATGTAGTACCAACTGACTCTCATGTATATTTTAAAGCATAGTTGAGAGATTTTTTTTTTCCTTGAGAAAATTTGGTATGTACTGTACCTGATATATATATCCAAAATAATCGATATTGAATCGAATCGAATCGAATCGGTAATCGAATCGAAAGCTTGTGAATGAGAATCGAATCGTGAAATTTGTGTCAAAACCCAGCCCTAATAAACAGCCTACCTTCTCGAAGCACCACTCTTTCATAAGCGGGGAACTTTGTTTGGACAGGTTGAGCAGAAAGGTCCTCTCTGCTCTTCCTCAGGTTGCGTTTGGAGCTACGGAGGCCTCTGAACCTCCAGAAGTCGGCCCGATCCCCTCCTGGAGTCTTTGGGAGAGTGTACTGGACACTCGATAGCTGCTCAGCCCTGTAGAGAACACAAAACAACAGCTCAAACTTGAATAACTCAACACATCAAACGCACGACTCAATGAACTAGTACAAATGGCTTCAGCACCTATTCTTGTTGGGGATTATGCCCCGCTCCACCTCCTGGTGGTTCTTGCCGATGCGGATGGCAAGCCAAGAGCCCAGTTTGCCGTTGTAAAGGGTGTCGACTACTCTGAAGACCTCCCCCTTATTGAAGCTCAGGCCGTAGGGTGACTCCTTCTCGTACTCAAAATGGGTCCTGATGTAGAACGAGTCACCTACGTCAGACTCTACAATGCGTCTGTATACTGGGAAGCAAAGAGATTTATGTTATTATTATTTTGGAGTCCTGATGAAAAGTTTGAAACAGTTTAAAGTGGTTTTGCTGATCTTTTCTGGTTTAGCTTGTCAGACAGTCTGACAAGTGTCCAAAATCCCTATAAAACCATCAAAGAACCAGATCAGTCTGACCAGCAGAAACCAGCTTGGTGGATCGGTAAATTATGATTTGATTATGTTTGATTATTTAACTTTCATAATATAATGTTGTACAAGACCCTATCCCACCCCAGATTTTCCTCACTCTTCCACATTATATTATTATATTAAAAGATCTTAAGACAGGTGCGAAACTTAGGTGTGGACGCTCTATTATAGATTAAAAGAGAGGAATAAAATATAATATAATAAGTGTAGAATTGCACTGTACTGTAAGGTGCCCTGGGTTGCACTATCTGTTCGTTCACACACGTCTATCGGATTGGCAGCTGGCTTTAGCAGAGCCTTTACCGATTACATCCATTGTTCAAAGCAATCGACATAATCGTCTGTGAGTGACATCACTTCCCAATACAAACACGCCTCATAGTATAGTCCCGCCCCTGACACTGATTGACAGCTTTCCGTGTAAGGCATCGGGAATTCAAATGCTAAAGGAACTGCGATTCCATGTGAGTTTTGGCAGGTTACATGCGCGACGCAGAGAGAGTGAAAAAGCAGACGTGGTAATTAATATTGCTATTTAAATATGACAGGCTCATAACTCGTAAGACATGGGAAATGCAGTTGCAAACAAACTTTGCTTTTCCATTTGAAATTTGGCACTCACTAAGCGTTCGCGAAAGCAAAAACGCAAACGGTAATGCAAGATTTGTAAGTTTGGATTATGTCACAATGTATGCGTCCATATATGGAAAACGCAACTGAAAATACAATTTGCAATTCCTTTTGAAAATATCCTTCCATACATTTGTTTCTGATAAGGTATTGAGCTTAATCTAGCTTTAACTGGTTAAGAAAAGCTGCTTTGATTAGCTATAAGAAGACAGCACAATAATGCACACTTTTGATCTAGCTTAGCCTAGTGCTAACTCTTTTGATTGGCTAGCACAAGATATCACAATTTATACAACAGTTCGTTCTGGTTCTCAAATCTGATTGGTTGAGAACCGTGAGATATTGTACTGGTATCGCTACAGGAACGCCCTTTCACAATTTTGTATCACTCCGCTTGTTCTAGCCGGGTCTCGTGCCTAATCACAGCCATGCTGATATAGAGCCGGTATCGCTCTCGTACTCGAGTGATATTGCTCATATATCATTAATTTCCAATCAAGCAATGAGATCTCTCTAATACGTCTAGTTTGGCATAGCGCATCCAGCTAGATTATGTCATTGATTTATCTTTTCTTTGTAATCTTATTACAGTGCTTGTCCTCTGATGCTATTTTCTACTGATGTCACAGGCCAAATAGCTATTTAGGCATTGTTGTAACAATCAAACATTCAAGTCTTGGCCCAAATCAAAATCAAACCCCGTCCTAAATCAAGTCACATATTCCAGATATGTATCATGCATTACACTAGGAAAGCATAAAGGCCCGAATTTACTTATGGACAGTGTGCGCGGGACACTTCTGATGATGAAAATTTGCGTCATGCGGACAGTGCGTGGACCGCTGCTGGAAGCAGATTGCCAAAGTATACTTTGGGCTTATTGGTTTACAAACAGGGATTCGTATTAACTTTTACGAGCGGACATATAATCCTTACCATCTTTCTTTTTCTGGGCCAGGATGGTGACCTCCTCTCCTTTGGGCAGGTCCAGCAGAAACAGCACTGCCTCCTCGCGGATGATGTTTGCAAAATCCACATTGTTTACCTGGGAAGGGTTCGGAGAAAAGACATTTAGAACAAAAACTTTTCTCTAAAGGGATCTAGTGTATGAGAGGGAAAAAAAAGTTGTTTCTTGAGACAGGTTTGTGAAAAAATTTGATTGTGTGGTGGGCGTTCTGAATAAAGAATAGGCATGTTGGAAAAACCCAGAGAGGAAGAGAAAGAGGCTGCGTTTGGCAGTGAGATGGAAACCAACGTCACCAGGGAAACCATCCTGAGAGAAAGCAAGCATCTTCACACACACTGAGGTTTAATGGCATCTATACAGCACGAGAGGGACATTTTGGAAGCGGGAACCGCCATAAAACTAGGACTGCTATTAAAGAGCCCGTAAACAGAAGGTCATAAAAGCCGGGACACCGAAGCTCCCTTCACCCACAGGCCTTTAAGAGTCCCACTCAAGTTATTCATCACAAGAGCTAAACGCCACCACAAACAACTGCTAAGAAAGCATAAAGCAAGCAGGTATCAACATCAGATAGAAATACCCATTCACACACACACACACAGCATTAGCATGAACGACACAAAACATTATTTTAGGCATCTCTGGGATGCCTGACCTGAAGCCTGATCCAAATAATGGGCAGCAAATTATGCCGCCTCATTAGATACCTCACTGGCAAAAATTTAAGGCAGCATTACGTGTTACTTGCAGATATGACAATCCCAAAATGCACAGCGGTGAACTCAAAATCCAAGATGGTAATGGATAGTGAAGTCGAAGGGAGTGTACATTATAAATACATTTAATTTATTAAAAATGTATCTAGAGAAAATCAAGAGATCATCCCAGAGTTATTATAGTTATCTAGAAATGGAAACCATAAAAAAATTGTTAATTGAAATAAAATAAACATTAACTGAAATAAATTATAAAAAAAAAAACTTAACGCTTTATTCAGGTAGTTGCGAAGAAAAAAAACTTTATTCAGGTAGTTGCTAAGGCAACATTTCTCATTTTAATTTAGTTTAACTTAACTAAAATAACTAAACTAAAACTGAAATGAAAAATGTATAAAACTATATAGAATTATTAAAAACTAATAAAAATGTCAAAACATACAACAAAATTACTAAAACTTTAACTGAAATTAAAATAAAAAATGAAAATATAAAAATAAAAAAATAAAAACTAATTCAAATTATTAATAAACTACTGTATATAAGCATTTCAACAATAGTAAAATAACACTAGTTCAAGTCAAGGCAAATATTATTGTGAATTTTAATATTTTTTTGTGCATATTGCAAATATTTTTGTGCATATTACAAAAATGTATATTATTATAAAAACTGGTTATTATAAAAATGGTTCCAGAATTCTATTTTTTCATATTCATTTATTTAAAGCATTGAAAAAAAATTTTTGTCAAGGAGCTGTGAATCAAACTAAACAGCTCCAAGTTGGATCAATGCAACCTATGAATCGAAAAAAATATATTTTTAATCGGTAAACAGACTACATAACCATGCACTTAACCTCTTTTATGAGGAAATGAACTACACATCCCATGATGTACTGCAAATCAAATCGGAAATTAGGTAATTGAATCAGAAACAGAAGCTCAAAAGTAAACGGACCATGAATCATAACAATATATCTGAAGTTTATTATATACAAATACATAAGCTATTTAAGAGTGAATTTGCAATGCTTCATGGGAGTGGGCAGTCACTGTTGAGTTCTTTTGCCAGAGTTCCCGCTTCCACAGTAACACAGACTGCTCTGATTGGTGGATCGCTAGCAACCAAAAGTACAGCAACCTGATGAATTAACCGCTGTCAAAGTGCCCTTTATAGGTAGTTGCCTATATAAACAGCTTTTAGTCAGACGTTGCAGTAATTAATCCATGAAGAGGTTAGAGTGAAGCAAAACATTGTTTTCTCACCCTGAGAATCTGGTCTCCCTCCTCCAGGCCCTCTTTAGCAGCAGGACTGTCCTCCAAAACTCCTGCCACAAATATCCCAACGTCATTCCCGCCAGCGAGTCTCAACCCGACGCTCTCGCCCTTCTTAAACTTCACCAGCTTCATGCTCGGCCTGAGGGTGGACACACAAACATACATTTAGGACATTTCATTCTCAACATCTCTAAAACACTGAAGTTAGTAGCACGCACCGTAAGATGCTGTCATCATGCGTGACGCTGGGCACTGGGGCGTCTGCCGGACTAACAGGCAGGTCCACATCAGGCTGGCCGGGTTGAGCGTACACAGGCTTGGGCTCTGAGAAGATCAAGGCACACTGAGTATTTGAATAAAATACACACGCACACACAAAAATGTCATCACAGGAGCATGTCGCGCTCTGGGAGGTCACAGAGACACCCAGCGGGACGGAGCAGTTGGAAAGACACTGTCACAACTGACAAACTCCCGCTGCTCGTCACCGCCTGTGCACAAACCCAGGCTGAGAATAATGTACGTTCGATCACAGTGTGTTCGTGTGTAGTGACCTCTGACCTGGCAGAGGGGGGAGCTGTTTCTCTTCTCTGGCTGCAGTCTGCTCTTTTGCCATCTCCTCCACCATCTTAGCAGGTAGGGGAAGCGGCCCAGCCTTTGAGACCCTGTCTTCATCACGGCTTCGGTGACTGTGGGTGAAGAAAAAAGGACAACACAGAGTTAAGCTGTTAGAATCCCACACATTTAACATTGGTCTTGTTATGATTTACTGTCGTAAATCTGTGAATGAATTATTCTTAGAAGCTGTTTCTTTTGAATGATTTGGTCAAACTGATTCGCGAAGAATTTTAAATCAGTTGATTTTATGTGAGCAGTTTGTTTGGAAGTAAAACATTAAGCGAAGTGATATGTTTGAACCGTAAGCAATGCAAAACTTGGAAGAAGCAATTCTCAGAATGATTCTTCTTCAACTTGATAGCCTTAAAAACAGGTTTATCTGACACAAACAATTTGGATCATGATGGCATCAAACTCCAACGTATACTTTTATATGATATACTACAAAAAAAAAGCTAGTTTGCATAACTTATCGACAACAATGATTTTTGCCACTTTTGAAAGAATCAATTTTGAATGATAATCGATTAATCAGCTTTTTGAAACAGTAATAAAAACAGTCTGAATGAACCAAACTGCTAACAAGATTTTCCAAACTGACTTCCAAATTCACTAACTCTTATGCATTGTACAAAACAACTTATATTATCATAACCTAAAAATATTTTAATAGGTAAATAGTCGTATTTAACTAAATACTTTTTTTCTTACAAAAACTGATATAGACATATTACTGGAAAACTTGTGAGTGATAACTGAAACAATAGTGAAGAGCAGGCAAAAGCACGCACATCAATCTCAACTGGGTGCTCGACTAAGAAACTAGTGGAACATTTTTTGATGTAAAGTCGGCAACACCAAAGCTCCAAAAATATCAAAAAATTAATTTTTTTTTAAAACTATCGCATAGCATATGTGACGTTTCGAGCACGCAGGCTCTTCATCATACAAATGAACAACACTGATATCCCACTCTTTATAGGCCTACCTCCAGGTGATCAAAGGTCACATGACCGTACCATATTATCATGATAATAATAATACCAAAACAATAACATATCAACCAAGGAGAAAAACATGGAAACAAAAATAAAAATAAAAATAAATAAAAAACATATAAAGCTATGCAAAACACACGAATATAATTATCAATATATTGTTTAATAACATTAATTGATGCCTGCCTAGGTACACTGATAAATGAAACAAACCAGGTTTTTTGTTTTGTTTTACTGAACAGTCCAAACAAACCAAATCACTAAATCTACTGACTGTTAACCACCATACAAATATCTGATATCAGATAATACATATATATAGAGATTAGATTGCATTTAAAAAAAAATAAAGAACACGTAAAATGGCACACTTCTGGAAACACTTTTGATTGATGGCTCAAACGAATCCACTGATTCATTGTAACAAACAGCCTAAAATGTGCACAAATGAATCAGGCATATCCAATCCACTTTAAAAGTGAAAGACATTTCCTCCTAAGGCCAGAAACATTCTCAACACAAGTACCCAAACGCAGATGTGAATGCTCGGCCGACGAAGAATGTGGTTTGGTTACTTAATTTGTATTTTGACGGTAACAAACCTAAGTAACTCCAGGGGTCGATACTATCATATATCTGTGCTCATGGGCGACATTTGACTCTTGAGTCGGGGGGGGGGCAAGAAAAAAAAAAAATATATATATGAAATAAATAAATAAAAAACAAAATATTTTTTTCAGATGTAAGCATCAAAACAGTGCCCTACCGTATTGCAACGCATCAAAGCAGTCAATCCAACACAGTCAAGAATAACTTAAAGAGGTTGCCACTGTTTAGTAAAATGTGGACTAGCTTTGACTCTTCCTGCTGACTTGAATGGTGATGCTTCCTGTTTGTCAGTTGATGGCCTTTCATTTTTAACCAGAAATTTGCATGCTGCTTTTCTGAAGTTCACTGAAGTTTTCCGTGTCTTTTTCCCATGTCACTTGAAATGTGTCCGTTTTGAATCATTGACTAAGTTTACATGGACATCAGTAATCAAATTATTTACCTTATTCTAAATAAGACAATATTACGATTAAGGTGTTTACATGAGTTGCTTTTAGAATATTCCTTTC